TCCACTTTGAGCTGGTGGCTTCATAGTTTTGTATTGTGCCGTAATTGTGAGCGATCGCATCAAGTGTGCTTAACGGTGTTTCCAATACGTCATGAAATGATTACCATGTAGAATTCAGTACTCATCATGATACACTCCACGAACTTCCAGTTGGAGTCGGTAAGACAGTTGCAATAAACCCATAACTTTCTTGGAGGTTGTAGGTCGCTTAGTTTCAGGCACATCAACAAAGTGCTTCCACCACGAGTGCCACATTCCATACGGGGACTGGTCCGGGTCAGTCACGAAAATGCGGGTGTCGAGGTGGTCAAGGATAATTGAGTCGTCTCAAGCGTATACGTGGATAGTGGAAGTGTAACAGCAGTTTGTACAAGAGGTGGGACTAAGTTTCGAATATACTGTCAGGTATATCTTCAGTATATGCGGGGAAAGGGGAAGTTGTCCGTTTGTAATGCGAGAACGACCGCACCTCGGCGGTCAACCAGTGCAGAAAAATCCGTGAACATTGCACTATCAAAATGTGGTCTTTTAAGCAGAGGCAAATGGGTGTAGACCGCCTTGGAGTCGGGCACCTATGCACCGTTTGAGATATCAAGCTGAGGTTGGTGTAAATATCTCACAATGGTGTATACGGTTGGTCAACGCCATGGGAGCACAAAATAGCATTTATGTCGGTCACGAGTCTCGCGATTAAAATACTATTATGTATTTGCTATTGCGTTGTCTCCAAGTGGTCCAGTTGACGGTGGATTGTTCTTCTGCCCATCATCATCATCATAATACACGTCAACTAGAGATGGGAAACACCTCAGCTACTGTGCCGCAATACATAAGTGAAAAAGGAAAATAACTACAACATTTGAATGCCAGCTGAGCTACCAGCAACGGATAGGCATCGTTCCGGTAAGCTACCAGCCGGCTACCAGGCAAAAAGAAAAATTATTGTGTTTTACGCTAAGAAATGAGATCGTAGGTGGAGTTGAGGCTATAAAGGATGGAGAGGGACAAAGAAACTCACAGCAGGAACACCAATGAGGTCGGCTCCTTGCCATATCAGCAAGTGTATCCAGCAAAACGTGTTCACCGTCTTTTGGACCCCAACCAGGGAATCGAGACGCTCCAACCGAGGCCAGCACAGAAGTGAGGGTCTTCATCCCTCTGGACCAAGTCATCGCTTGGCCACCCCTCCTCTTCTTCCATCCACATCCCCGGTGAGCAAACAACACACGTCGTGGAAGTCGATGGGCTGGCACGCGCAACACGTGGCCCAGCTATCGGAGCCTGGTGCGTGAAATGACGGTGCTGAGAGGTTCATTTCCTTTTCCTAGGCCGCAAACAAGGCGTCGAACACGCTCTTTACTCACGCGGTGTTCCCACCAGATGTGAGCCAAACTGCGAAGGCACCGATGGTCGAACGTAACTAGCCTCTTCATGTCTGCCGATCTTAAGGGCCAGGTTTCGCAACCGTACAGTAAGGTCGAACGTACCGCTGCCCACGTAAAGTTAATACACAGTGAAGCAACAGTTGCTAGCGCGTGAGCAAAGCAAATATCTGGCGATTTACGTTGGATGGGTGAGCGGTACAAGACGGACAATGTGTCATTGTACTCACTAGGAGCTGGTTGTTACGGCGGTGCAAGTACACCTCGACTGTGTGGACAGTTCCGGCGCCGTTGTTCACGGGCATTGAGTTGTGGAGTTAACAAGATAGTGCATTGATGGAAACTGCTTTGATATTAGACGCGAGCGAGTCTGGTCTTAAATAGCGTTACGAGTCACCTATCTCAGGTGCATCAGTAATTTGTCGCAATGAATTTAGCGACGATTTATGAGAACAAATATTTGAAGGTCACTGCAAGTGAAATGAGATTGAGAGTACAAGAGCAGATGAAATAGTTGGAGGCTTAGGAAACACTGACCAGATTGGGGATGGACTATCTGGCTTGAGAACAACTAGGACGAATAAGTAAAATATCATCAGAAATCCTCCTACGTAAAAGTAATATCCATTATATTTAACTCTGATGTCTTTGCAATCTGGGTGCTAACATGGATAAGGTGAAAATGTGGGCCACGGTAAATAAACACGTTGCTGAGTGTTGCGGTGAATGTAACATTAGTTTGAAGTTGTTTGAGCTTGAGGTATGAGCGTGTACACTGGTTCCATTCAGTAGCCTACCTGAACCGGCTTGGTTATGCTAAATGGGGCGGTTGCCGGTGGTCCAGTTATTGGTGCTCCAACTGTGCAGAATGCTCCAATGAGCCAGACTGGGATGACTGAATTGTTTGTCCCATTGAGATAGGTCCACTTGTTTGGTGATACATAAACCATTGCTCATTCGTCTTTGCGTCGAAATACAACAGTAGCACATGGAAAAACCGGGTGATAAATCCGAAACGCTCAATGATTACATTGTTCGTTAAAAGTACGGTTTCAGTGATCATCCATTTGCTTCCTCCTTGCCAATATTTACTTGGATCGGTAGGACAGATGCAGGACAAATTTGGCAACTTGCATCTTCAGAGGTGTTCGAATATCCTTGATGGTGTCAAGACTGATGCTAGTTTGAGCCAACTGCAACCTTCTTTGTTGGATCTGTGGTTACGTCGCTTCTCACAAATAATATAGTACTAAGTTTGTTAACTACCAGTCTTATGCCTTACGCTTATCCTATTCTGGACAAAGGATCACGGTCAACTAGGATAATATGTACCATGATGCTATGGTTCGGTGCATTTCTTGATGGTGTTGACAACCTGCTTGCTTCCATTTAGAAGTGTTAACATCCACCATATAGGCTGGAATATTTGTTGAAGAATTAGTGTAAACAATTTGTTTGTAACTACTGAGCATACATTCACTACTTCCATAAAGCAATCTTCAGTATGATCTGTGCTTAAAGTGAAATACGCAGGTGCGACGATACAAAATATATAGCCAGTTCCGTTTGTGATGACATTTGAGCTGGGAGTTCAGCCGTGAAAACTCTGACTGATCCTAGCGCATGATACTCCAAGTCGACTTTAATTTTCTTTTATAAAGTCTATGCACCCATAAGGGCAAATAAATAAGTGCGACGTGTTTCTACTATACTGCATGCTGTCCAGTGATAACCCTTCAAACCAACGCACTCACTTTTTCCGCCAATCACTTTAACCAACTGTGTAACATTAAAGCAGCAAGCTTCCACCAGCAGAGATAATGTCTCAATCGATGCTCATTCCACGTCTGTGACTAAACGGCATCGCGAGTAATGCTTGGGTTACGAAGGGATTTCTATTTGAATGTCTCTTTGAGATGTGGACCTAAAGCACAAAGATGAACATTGGTGGCATCGAAACTATTGAAACGAAGTTTAGAGGACTTCAAAATCCCTTCACTCATTTAAATCTGCGAGGCACCTAGATTTGACATCTCTGAAATGCGCTATATTGCATCAGGAATGAATGTAACAGCTTTCTGCAAATAAGATTGTCCAGGTGAAATAAACCCTAATGTGCATAAAAATGTGACAACATAGCAGCTTAGCAGAATTATCTGCGTTGTATATGAAAAAGCAAAAAATCGCTAGCAACCTCCCGTGCGATGTAGCGTACAAGAAATCTCCAATCAATAGTGAGCACTCGGTGACAGAGATGCTCTTGGAATTGAATGCCAGTTACATCGCTCATACTCTGCTTTCTTCGGTGTGCTAAACGTCTAGCAGGGTTAAAACCTCACAAGGTTGAGAAGCACAAGTTTTCACTACCCAATGGTTCATTACCTGCAATGCAATTTGTTTGAGAATCCAAGAATTAGTACCTAGTAGATACCTCGATCTTGTCATCCAGTCAGTCGAAAAAATATAGGTATCAACAAATGTAAATGTTTAGATGACAGTCCTTTCATGCAGTGTTCACAATCATAACCACGCAGCCAGTGTTAATTCAAAAAGAAGTTGATCTACAGTCGATGCTGATGGTGGATCTGTGACTAATTAGGTACTCTCACAATCAAGACAGGTCGGGTCACCGCCGAATTCTTCCGCATGCACGGACTTACCCGTATTAATCTGAGCATACTGACCTCAATCATCAGGTGAGTGCAAAAATGAGAATGACGATGGTGAATTATGCACCGAACTTTACTTCATAACTGGTTTTTAGTAAGTCTCTTGCGTTCACTGAGATAGGTCTGCATCTCAATTCACTCGGCGACCCAAAATCTTGTGTAGCCACTCTCGGCTCTGAGGGCCAAATTTTGCTCACAACGCTCAGCAGTTATTTCGATACTCACAGATAATAATAATAATAAATAATATAAAGCCTTTACTGTCAGCAGTGAGAAACGCCCATCAAGGCATGACTAGCGAAGCACAGTCTTGAACAACAGGCTGAACACAAGCTGATTAGGAAAATGTACCAATAACAAACCAATTTTGCTATAGAGATACTAAGGATGGACACATCAAATAGAGTCAAGAACATTTTCTGCAGATTAAGTAATAACTTAATTTGTTATACCGGTAATACAATAGTAAGGTAGAAATGAAATAACTATGAACAAGAGCCAAGACAGATTCAAGGCGAAGAGGGATGTATAGTAAGAATGATCAAGCGGATTAATACGATCATCCGTGAAACCGTTTCCGTAGGAACCCGTTCCATGCGAGTTAGTCTCTCGGGAGGCTTCACTCGCACCTCTACACCCCATCTGGTAGTGTTCTGGCTTCGCGTTATGCTGATTAGCTATCATCGATTTTACTATTCATTCGGATGTTTTTTATCTTTGTTTCCTTAAACTGCTGGCTTAAGCCAGTCACCTCATTCGCTACTCCTTGTATTTTATAGTGGGCCTGATAACCCAGTACCTGATTTAGTGGTATATGCCAAACAGTTGTTAACGAACACGCTCGTTTATTTTTGTTAGTGCTAACGGGTGAGGAGCATCTCTTTTACCTTTTTATTGTTAGGAGGAGCTTGGTAACGTCACTAATCGATCCTATTCTTATTCTATCCAGCTATCAAGGATATCCAACTGTAAGATACACTCGAAAGTCCAGCGACATCAACACACAGGGCTCATCCGCAATGCGTTATCCTGCAGACGACCTCATTCTCAAAGCTACACTGAGCTCAGAAACAGGGACAAGTTTCGTTAACCCTGAGTCATTACGAGTAAGGGAACCACGGCGGTTGTGTAGAAGACGGGACATGATCCAGCTTCCTCCCGAAGGCGTTCAACTGGAGGACAAAACACACTATCGGGTCTGCTACAACGGTCAAGTGAGCGGTAGGTCTATCCTGAGTACATAGTTTCACAAATCAAATAAAAAAATAAAAATGATGTGTTAGCTATACGCACTAACGGCGTTTTGCTGCTGCGCGGCCGCCACCAGTTGCACGCAGGCTGAGTATACTGCAAGGATGTCCACTCCTACGCGGATTCGAACCGGTGAACTTATGCTTGCAAACCAAGCGAGCAGACCACTCGAATACCGTTTTGATTCGAAAGGCAGGAAAAGATTCCATAGAGCTGCTTCCTAAATTTACCACAGGAACTCCTGTCAAGTTGACATAATAAATTAGGTCTGCCTTTGGTTAAAGAAACTTGTGAATGCCTTTCTGCTACCAACCTAATGGCTCCACTGGCAGCGAAAAAATCCATCCACCCGGAAGAAAATAACTGAAAATGCCGATAGTTCATGGTGCATTAGGGGCTAAAAAACAAAGATTATAAGACTCACAGAATGGCAAATGTAAAGCAAAATAAAACTCAAAATGTTCCGGCGTGGAGTCTGAATTATCAGTGGTCCGAGCGTCAGACTTTGTCATACTGTTGTGCATCGTTTATCACTTGGATGAGTATAATAGTTTTTCAAATGTCGCGATGTTTGCTGCGTTCATTGTATGTGATGGCAAGGCATTCCAGAATGAACGGATTCGTGAAAAATAAGGAATAATTTCTATTATACAAACTGGAGTGTTGAGTTACTAATGTCAGGTCATGGCCTCGGCATTGTTTGTAAGCGTTTGGAATCAGCAATGATATACATCGGTGTTCACTTTCAGTTAGTATCTGGTATGTGAGAATGAATTTGATTAACAAACGTTGTAAGTATGGTTCATATTTTACTCAAAGTTATCCATCATGTTATCAAGTCAGGCGTGACAAACTCCAAGATGGGTTCTGATGTAACTGCACCATCCAGCACTTTATCCTAGGTTGGCCTGACATACCACTGCTCCTGATGAAGATCTTCACCCAATCGCTGGAATCTAGCCACTTTCCAGATCAAAGAAAAGCGTCGTTTACTATCCCTCGGCACAAGGAAGGTTCCAAGCAAAGGGATGAGAACTAACCGCCAATCCACCACAAAGTAATAATTGCCCGTTTAGTTAAAATACTGGTCAAAAATGCGTGCTGAACTTGGTCAATTCTTTGGTCTCGATAACTAAATCGCATAATGGTTTTTTGGCAATCGAACGTGCACCACTTGTCAATTGCATTAGCCGACCTACATTTTAGTATCCATCGATTCTAGCTATGCAGTAGAAATTCTGTTCCTGGATATGCACCCAGCATTTGAATGGGTGTCACACAAACGCCTGTTGAAAGTTAGAGGCTTTTGGGATCAGCGACCCATTACTTGGTTGACTATCATCATACCTGAGCGGTCGTCATCAGGTTGTTACTTTTGTTGACCATCGCTCTTCGCCACGCCCCATCCCTAGTGAGGTCATCCAAGGTAGCGCGCTTGGTATTTTTCTGTTTTGTGCCCTACATTAATGGTATCACCACGTTCGTAAAACATGGACAGCCATTTTTATTTGCCGATGATACCGAGATTGTCCATAAGCTTTAATGTAATGAACTTCACATAACGCTTCTCATCATTCAATATGACTTAGTTTCCTTTGAGTCATGGTGCCTCGCGTGGGTAATGAACCTTTCGGCTAAAGACGCAAATGTAATGTTTTCTAGTCGTTATATCCCCAAAGTATCTATCACACTAAACGATGAACACGTGCTGACACCGTTGTCCAAGTGTGACCTTGGAATTAAGCACTTGACGAATTTACAGTGCATCGCGTTGTCCGCTGATGTACACACAGACACCGTGGCGGCATCGTTAACACATACAAAAATTCTTCATGGTCGCTTCTACAAAAATTATTTTTCGTCAGTATGCGCAACGCAACGGCTGTTTAATTTGGAAATGCATGCCTCGATCATTGAGCAGCTATCATTCGATTCTACTAGTCAACCTAGACATTTCTCGCAGCTGTTCCATAACGGGTGCTGAAAACTTTTATGACGATTTTATAACTACCGTCATTGAACCTTGAGCTTTTTCTTTATGTGATTTTTCCTGTGATTTCAATAGATTCGACACGTTTTATTACCAGTCTTGGACCGAAGGACCTCGTGCAGTCTGCAACAAGGTTCCAACCAACCTTAGACTTCGTGTTTGTCAAAGATTTGAAAACTTTTTCTCTTTTTAATTAGGCACCGTTTTAAAGTTCGGACTATGCCACCATAAAGTTATCCCCATGGTCTATGGGAAAACGAATTGCAAAAATATGATTCACTGCAAGGACCACAATTTAACGCAAAGACAATATCTTTCCCGCAAAGTTGAGCTAATACTCAAAATTGTTGCCCATACAGACTACAATATATTTTACAACCCTGAAGTAGCAAAATAGTGTGATCAGTTAACCATCTACAAAATCCACACAACTCCTGCTAAAGTTTGTTAATTTTATGCTGCCCATTAGCCTTATCTTTGAGTACTGTGACATACTATACGGCAACACGAGAAATAGCAACAACACTTTTCCGGAGCACCTGCAGTGATCGCTTATTGGTATGCATTCTGTCATGAATTATGGAGAGCGTTGCAACGATCTGCAACTCCAGCCACTTTGGGTGCGACAATTGAAGCTTTACAATCTGCTACATAAAAAGAACCGATTCCGACCTGCCTATACTCAATCTACAATACAGAACAGCTCGCGAGCTTCGCATGAAAGTTTATACACTGATTATGCGAAGTGTTATGATAAACATACACTATTTTTTCATGTGGAACAAACTGTCAGTAACAATCAGGTCATGTGACAATGCGGCAATAATTAGTGATAAACTTGCAGCCTACCTTGACATGGATACAGTAATGACAATATTCACATCGGAAAATTTCCTCGATGAGCTATTACAAGCGCATCTAAGTGTTTACGCTTCTGGACCTCAACTTCCGCCTCAACCTTCTACTAAATCACAAGTACATGAATCTCCTGCCCCAATATAGCCCATATGCATATCGCCCATTCATGTGTATGGTTAGCGTTGTGCAAATTAACTTGTTCCGCTGTATCCTCAGTTTCTCGAGTCATAAGAAGTTTATTATAATTCATACTTGGAAAGCAGTGGCACAATCGTACCAAATGAATGATTCACACTTGGTTGGGATACTGCTCTGTGAAACCAGTAGGAAATCCATGCTGAAACCGACCGGCGATCTGATAGTCAAGCTGTACCCAGGACCACGAAAGTCAGTCATCATCCGCAACGTGTGACCGATCAAATTCCTCCGGTCACAGCAACCGATTCTTAATAAGGATGAGACAGTTGAACACTAGTCTTCTACATCTATAACTAAAGGGTCACTGATAGAACTCCAATCCACGGAATTTCCGTCACCCATACAGATTGCTGCTAAGATCACTTGGGATGCCAGACTTAGGGGCTCTTCTGCTGCAAAATCCCGCTAAAGCGAACAGGGAGGCATACAGTAGACCATCATCAATTGAAATAAATCCAGGAACAAGAATCACCCTACCTTGCAGCTCAAAGAAAAACGGATCTAACACTAAGGTCATAACTGCTGTATGTACAAATGTCCTCGAATCTACCACCTTCACATTGTGGGTTAAACTCTCAAAATACCAATACCAGTGGAACTCATTGCGCATTTTGATAAAGGCAAAAGCCAGACCCACAAATCTAGTTGTAGTTACTCGTCACCCGTACTCTGCACACTGTGGCAAGTCGCGATATAGTAGTGGCATTGGAATCCACCACCGATGTAGAAAAGAGTATACTATCTGTAACTGCGCCGAAACACCGATCTTGTGGGATACGCAACTAGGTCGATGTCCCTTGGAACACGCGGCAATCGGAAAGTAACATTTGAAGGACGCAGCAAGCAGGATCGCCTAGACACAATCTTTGCTTACGGCGTGCAACAGCTTTCTTCTCATGATAGTCAAACAAATGAAAATCAAGATCTGGGACAGTGCCGGTTCATTCGAAAAGCACTATTCGTGGATAGCATCGTTGCACAAGCACTCAAAAAGCTACCTCTCATAACAAACTATAGAGCAGTGTTTGTCAAAGTGTGGCAACCGGGCTATTCTTAGGGCATCCGCAGGATTTTCCGAAATGTTTTAATTCCATCGACTTATTTTCTGTTAGTGTCATTTGATTTTGGGCTGATAACCGACCTGCTATGCACATTTGTTAGATGATATTTGATTGTCTACACAAGTCTTGTGTACGATGCATGTAAAACACACTCTTCCCAAGTCAGAAGCTTGTTTTGGCAGGAACCTAAAATATGAATGAACGAAGCCGTCAAATTTCAGACATACTGGATCTAGACATTGATCTCAGTGAGATGTCACTCTTTCGAAATGATTGTCCATCTCGGGGTGGTGATGTTGCTCTCTACTATCGAGATTATTTTAAATGTGAGGCTCTTACCAAAAATTCCCTGGTTATTCCAGATGCACTATTTTTCCGACTGTACCTAGCAGGTCTAGATATTGGTTCACAGAAGATGATTGCTGCTTGCGTCTTAGCAGTTATTTATAGACCTCCGAACTCATCAGCAGACAGCGATAACATTCTGTTAAACGCCCACCGCTATGTTGTTTCACAAAAGTATCCACACTATCTTATAATATGCGACTTTAATATTCTTTCAATAGAATCAATGTCCCTTAATGGGCCATCATTTAAATCGAAGCTCCTTAAATTCATGGAAATAGCAGTATTGTATAACAATGTGCATCCACCAACCAGACACCGCGGTTCAAACAAGCTATCACTCCTGGACTTAATCCTGACTAATGAAGAGTTGATGGTTGAGTCAGTAGCATACGATCCTCCACTGGGCCGTAGCGACCATGCAGTCCTAACATTTGATTATGTGTTTTATGCCAGTATTGTTGATAAGGAAAGAGAGACTCAACGCACTATTACGGACTATTTTAACCTGCATAACA